TCATTTTCTTTCTCTCTCTCTCTCTCTCTACACTTCTCTCCCTCTTTCCTGCTCGCTCCTCTCCTTCTCCACTCTATGTCGGTGCACGTAAATAAAATATACACGTGTGTTGTGTGTATGCGGGGGGTTTTTTGCGCTCGGGTTTATGTACGTGTTTGCGTGAATACATGTCTGTCCGTCTGTCTGTTGGTCTGTAGGTGGGTAGGTAGGCAGGTACGTAGGTAGATAGGTAGGTAGGTACGTGGGTTGGTAGGTAGGTAGGTAGGTAGGTAGGTATAGGTAGGTAGGTAGGTAGGTAGGTAGGTAAGTCGGTCTGTCAGTAGGTAGATAGGTAGGTAGGTAGGTAGGTAGGTAGGTAGGTAGGTAGGTAGGTAGGTAGGTACGTACGTACGTACGTACGTAAGTAGGTATAGCTAGGTAAGCATCAATCAAAGTATGTATGTATGTCTGTCTGTCGGTAGGTAGGTAGGTATGCAGATAGATAGATAACTAGTGAGCTAGGTAAGCCTGAATCAATGTATGTCTGTCTGTCTGTTGGTAGGTAGGTAGGTAGGTTTGTATGTAGATAGGTACGTATGTAGATATGTCGGTAGGAACGTTTATAGGTAAGTAAGTAGCTAGGTAAGCATGAATCAATGTATGTCTGTCTGTCTGTCTGTCTGTCTGTCAAGGTATGTAGGTAGGTAAGAAGATATGCATGTATGTAGGTATGTCTTTAGGTACGTTCACAGGTAAGTAGGGAGCTAGGTAAGCATGAATCAATGTACGTCTGTCTGTCGGTAGGTAGGTAGGCAGGTATGTAGAAAGGTATGAATGTAGATATGTAGGTAGGTACATTCATAGGTAAGTAGGTAGCTAGGTAAGCATGAATCGATGTTTGTCTGTCGGTAGGTAGGTAGGTAGGTAGGTAGGTAGGTAGGTAGGTAGGTAGGTATGTAGATAGGTATGTTCATAGGTAAGTAGGTAGCTAGGTAAGCATAATCTAATGTGTGTCTGTCTGTCGGTAGGTAGGTAGGTAGGTAGGTAGGCAGGTATGTAGATAGGTATGTGTGTAGGTATGTCGGTAGATACGTTCATGAGTAAGTAGGTAGCTAGGTAAGCAGGAATTAATGTATGTCTGCCATCTCTCGGAAGGTAGGTAGGTTTGTAGATAGGTAGGTAGCTAGGTAAGCAGGAATTAATGTCTGTCAGTCCGTATGTCCGTCTGTATGTAGGTAGGTAGGTAGAAATAGCTATGTAAGCATGAATTAATGTCCGTATGTCTATCCAGGATTTACCTGTGTAGAGACGAACCCCCCTTGAGGATTCCTCTGCTGTACCAGCCACTGCATGATGCGCTTG